ACAATACAATGAATTAATGAAACAAATAGTTGGTTCTTTGAAAACATAAACAAGATTGACAAACCTTTAACCCAACTAAACAAAAGAAGGGGGAAGACTCAAAATAATAAAATTAAAGATAAAAATAGAAATATCACAGCAGAATTTCATTGGAGATGAATAGGAAATTCTGAAGATCAATAGGGAATACATTTTGAAAACTTAACTCTAACAAACTGAAAAATGTAAAACAAAAGGATTAGTGTCTAGACAGGTATGACCAGCAAAGTTGAACAAAGAAGATAAAAACAGCATAAGAAGATCTATGAGTAATGAAATTGAAACAGTAATGAAGAATGTCTCAACAAAGTCCAACACCAAATGAATTTACTGCTGAATTCTACCAGACCATCAAAGAAGAATACAAATGCTCCCTAACTATTCCAAAAAATACAAAGGGTAGGAATGCTACTAAACTCATTCTATGAAGCCCATATTATTCTGACACCAAAACCAGTAAGGATGCAACAAAAAAACCAAGTTGTAAATCAATTTTCTCAATAAACTCAAATGTAAAAATTCTCAAAAAATACTTGCAAACCAAACATATTCCAAAGATCATACACTATGATCCCATGATCAAGTTGGTTGCATTCCAGGGATGCAAGGATGGTTCAACAAATGCAAATCAATAAACATATAATAGCACATAAGCAGAATAAAGGACAAAAACCACATGATCATCTTATAGATGCAGAAAAGCCTATGACAAAATTGAATACCCTTTCATGAAAAAAAGCTCTGAAAAATCTAGGAAAAGGAGAGACATACCTCAACATAATAAAAGCTATATGTAATGAATATGTAGGCAACATCATTCTAAATGGAAGAAAACTAAAACCATTTCCTCTAAAGGCAGGAAAGGGAAAAGGGAAAAGAGTGTCCATGTTCTCCAGTCTTATTCAATATAGTACTAGAATTCATGGCCAGAGTAATAAGTCAAGAGAATGAAAGGAAATGGATTCATGGGGGAAAGAAGATGTTAAATTTTATCTATTTGCTAATATGATCCTATAACTAAAAGACCCTAAAATCTCCACCAAAAAACTCTTAGATCACATAAACATGTTTACAAAAGTAGCAGAATACAAAATCAATATGTAAAAATCAGCTTTTTTATGCACCAAACATGGATAGGCTGAGAAAGAAATCAAGAAAACAATCCCATTCACAGTCGCCTCAAGAAAAAAAGAAAAAAGACTAAATTTAAGTAATGAAGTAAAAGACTTCTACAATGACAACTGTAACACATTAAAGAATGAAATCGAAGAAGACACTAGAAGATGGAAAAACCTCCCATGTTCAAGGATCTGAAGAATCAATATTGTGAAAAATGTCTCTACTACTGAAAAGAATGTACAGATTCAATGGAATCCTCATTAAAATTCCACTGATGTTCTTCACAGAAACATAAAATGAATCTTAAAATTCATATGGGAGCATAAAAGACAATAGATAGCCAAAGCAATCCTAAGCAAAAAGAGCAATGCTCAAGGTATAACAATATCTGACTTCAAACTATATTACAGAGCTACAGTTAAAAAATATAAAAGACAAAAAGCATGGTACAGTACTGCCACAAAAACAGACACACAGACCAATGGAACCGAACAGAAACAATCTCTTACAGTAATAGTCATCTGATTTTTGACAAAGGTGCCAAAAACTTATGTTGGAGAAAAGACATCATTTCCAACAAAGGTGCTGAGGAAACTGGATATCCACATGCACAAGACTGAAACTAGAGCTATATCTCTCATTCTATGCTAAAATAAATTCAAAGTGGATCAAAGAAAATCTGAGACCAGAAACTATGAAACTACTACATGTAAAGAGAGGGAAAACACTGGAATATATAGGCATAGGCACAACAACTTTGTGAATAGGACTCCAGTACCTCAGGAAATAAGAACAAGGATTAGCAAATAGGATTACATCAAACTAAAAACCTTCTGCACAGCTGAGCTTTTTCAGCGGAAGAAGTCCAAATGGCTAAAAAAATACATGAAGAAATGCTCAACATCCCTGGACATAAAGGAAATGCAAATCAAATCACATTTGGAGAAACAAGATTATTTATACATTATTGGTGTATATGTCAAATGGTACAGATATTTGACAATTTTTTAAAAAACAAAACCCTAACTTGCAATTACAACTTAAGAACTAGGCTCTTGATTATGTACCCCTGAGAAATGAAGACTTACCTTCATATAAAAACCTGTGCACGAATATCTGTTATCAACCATATTCATTATAGCCAAAAGGCAGAAACAACCAAGATGTTATCCAAAGAATGAATGAGTAAGCAAACTGTGGTACATCCACACCATAGACTACTACTCAGTCATGAAAAGGAACAAAACTGCTCTTACACATAACAACTTCATGCATTTCCAGAGAATGATGATAGGCGAAAAAAATCAGAAAAAAATTACAACTGCAGGAATTCACTCATATATTATTCTTGACATTAGTGATTGCCAAAGGTTTAGGAAGTAAGGATAAAAGGAAAGTGTAGAAAGAGAAAATGAGGGATCTTCTTGGTGATGAAAACATTTTTGCATCTTGATTATGCCTATGTACATATCTCAGTGTGATAATGTGCCCAAATTCTGCAAGATGGGCAACTGGTTACAGTGTACATGTGATCTCTCTGTACTGCTTCTTAAAATGCATATGAATCTGTAGATAAGTATAATTATGTCAAAAATAGTTCTTAAGACCCCAAATATAATGGCCACATATGGTATGATTCCATTTATAGGTAATGTCCATAACAGACTCTATAAAACCTATTAAAAATGAAAATGGTTGCTTAAAGATGGGAGAAAAAGGAATATAGGTAGCTCATGTAGCTAATGCATGTGAGATTTCCTTTGGGAAGATGACAATGATTTAACATTACATTATGATGACAGATACAACTATATTTGAGATGGGTGACTTATACTGCGTAACATCTCTTAATATAAATCTGTGAAAAAGAAAGAGAAAAAAAGATTATACCTGTTAAAATGACTATCATCAAGAACACAAACAACAACAAATGTTGGTGAGGATGTGGGGAAGAAAGGATCCTCTAAACACTGTTGGTGGGAATGTAAATTAGTACAACCACTATGGAAAACAGTATGGAGGCTCCTCAAAAGCCTAAAAACAGGACTGTCATGTTCACAATAGCAAGCTATGAAACAGCCAAGGTATCCCACTACTGATGAATGGATTAAGAAAATGTGGTATTTATATACAATGGAATTTTAATCATCTATGATAAAGAAAATTTTGTCATTTGCAGGTAAATGGATGGAACTGGAGAACATAACCTTAAGTGAAGTTAGCCAGGTTCAGAAAGCCAAAGGCCATGTTTTCTCTCATATGTGGAATATAGACCTAATACAAATACATGCAAATTATGAAAAGCAGGTCATGCTAAGGTGAGGTCACTCACAGGAAAGAGAGGGTAAAAGAGAACGTTAAGAAGATTTATATGGTTGATGTACTTTGTATGTAAGAATGAATGTAGAATTTTTGAACCTGTTGAAATTACCAAGGGAGACTAAGGTAGAAAGAAGAAAAATAGAGGGGATGAACCAATTCGGGGTGTAATACATATATACATGGAAATGACACAAGGAAACCCCCTGTACAGCTATGTTAAATAAACAAATATGTATACTTCAACAATGAAGAACAGAAAAGGAGAGGCTGGTACCAGTATGCAGAGGGAGGATGTAAGGAAAGGGTATTAGGGGTGAATATGATGGAAATATTATATACTCATGTACGAAAGTGGAAAAATGAGACCTGTTGAAACTATTTCAGGAATGGGGTAGGGAGGATAAAGGACAAAGATGGAGGGGGTGCATAAAACTATAATACAGTGTAAGAATTTTAAAAAAATGTTTCCACATACCCCCAACACAACAATAATATATTGAAAACAAAGAAATAAAAAAATCTTTGAGTCAATTTTTTAAAGTTGTGTTAATTAATGAAAAATCAAAATAAAATAAAGCCTTACATTATGTGTTCCTCAGCCAGTTTACTCACTTACCTCACATTACCAGCTAGCCCATGGAGCACTATGAGACTTACAATGTGTTTATGGCTTTGGATCTGGAATGCCCCCAAGGCTCATATGTTAAACGCTTAGTCACCAACCTGTGGCACTATTGGAAGGTGGAGGAATCTCTAGGAAGTTGGGCCTAGCAGAAGGAAGTTAGGTCATGTGGGGATGTCCTGGAAGGGAATACTGGTACCCTGGCTTCTCCCCTACCTTTCTTTGCTGCCCAAATTCCATGAGGTAAGCAGATTTTTGCTTTGCCACAAGCTTCCGCCTATGACTTGCCATAAGCCCAAAAGCAACAAAGCCAAGTGACCATGCATAGAAAGCTTTGAAACCATGAGTTAAAATAAATCTTCCCTTCTTTAAGTTGATTATCTCATGTGTTCTGTGAAAGCAATGAAAAACTGACACACAAATGAAAGTCTGAACAAAAACAAAAATATTCCTTGACCTCAAGGCCTTTGCTAGTCAATACCAGTTCAATACAGTACAGGTAATCCATCATGAGGAAGTTAAAACTCACAGAAGTTATAGTCTGAGAAACCTTAAATGTTGGTAATTTTCTGGAAAGTTTGAGACTTTTTGAGCAATAGGAAATTGCTTAAAGGCAGGGGATAGGGATTAAGAAGAAGAATTTTTAAAAAACCCAAAAAAACAGGGAAAGTAATTCAAAGTAGAAAAGCACAAGCTTGAAGCAGAGGTATCTACAGAGAGAACTATATTGGATCAATCAGAAGCCAGAGGTGGAGAAATGACAACAGATGAGTCCTGCAGACAGATATGTGCCCAAGCACAGACTCTGAGCCACAATGTAAAGGACATTAGACATTATCTAAAGGAAATGTTCATTAAAATTACTGACATATCATTAGTAGGTGATATGTATACTTACCCGATTTATATTGTTATTCCCTAAAAGAGCCTGCAGTAGGGTTTTCTCAAATTCTTCCAACTTCTTGTAACACTTTTTAAGTACATGATTAGATAAGTTGCAATCACTGGTCAGACTAGCTAAAGTTCCAACAGCTTCTGTCCAAAACTTAGAAAAAGGAAGCTGTGGGTTACGGTAAAAAGTGATCAGGCCATCTAGCAACTGCAAAACAGAATCAGAGACAGTGGAAGAATCTTTTTCAAGGTGAATTAAGTCTGTTTTCAAAGTACCTGACTCTGTCAGTTTCTTTAATTCAAGCAGATGCTGCAAGAATTGCATGTGAGAAGACAGAGGATTTTCTGTGGTAGCACAAGGTCTTTTCACAAGAGGCAGTGGTAAAAAGGGTAAGGGGGTGCAGCTCTCCACAGAATGCAGGGACAGCTCTGAAGGCTCAGTTCTTTGCTCGTTTGATAAATCACAGCCAGAATCATCCATCAGAGTTAATGTATTTTGAGAACTTGTAGGTTCCTGAGCTGGCAGGTTTCCTGAAACAGAAGGAATAGAAGTGTTATCTTCCTGTTGCTGAAATTTCTTCATATAAAAACTAGACATTGATTTTTTTTAAATTTCTTTAAAATACTAAAGAATGCATGTAAATAGGTAGCAAATATTTAATAAGCAACAGTGTAAAGGTTGAGTAGAGGCAAAACAGAAATTGCTTAGACTGTCTACAGAAAGATCTCTACCATCAAAGAAAGGGTGATTTTCCCATGCATTTTCCAGTCTCATTCAACTACATGCCACAATTGAAAGATAAAGAGAAAAAAGCCACAAGACCTGAAGGACACCATACTGTGGTACAGATTCTAATGGGTGGCTACAAAACAACAAGGGGTATTCAGAGATAGAGATTTGCTTAGGATATTATGAAAAAAGGAACACTAAAAAGCCCTGCCTGTTTAGATTGGGGGATCCTAGAAGAGATGATGCTGGAAATATTATGAAGCATAAATAGGAGTTTAAAGTTAAAGCTAGAGGAATGGGAAAAGGTTGAGAGAATTCCATACAGTAAAGGGGTAAGTGAAAAAGCACAGATGTACCAAGGAAAAACTAGCATTGTGCATACAATGACTCAGACATAGTTTGACATTACTTTCTTAGAAAGCATAAGGTGAGAGATTAAGATGGAGAAATAGCTTAGAGGCCAGACAACAAAAGATCATATAAGATATATTAATAACCTTAGAATTTATCCTATAGAGCATAGAGTGAATTTCAAATTTGAATAATGTAAGACTCCCTTAGAAAACCTGTATGTGTGCACTCATGCACACACAAATGCCTGATAAAAAAGTCTAAATGCACACCAATAATATCTTTATCTCAAATCTGTATGTATACATAGTAAAAGCTAAACCTAGTAAATTTAGGTCATTCTTTGCCAGACATGTCATCATAAACACAAAAAAGGGGAAAAGATGGTGATTATTTTTAAATGATTATTAGTAAAATATACATCCCCAATTAAAACCAACTGACAAGTTCTCACTGAGCTTTCTACAGTACACACATACATGCAAGAAACCACATATGAGAAATATTTCTCTCACCAATGGGAGTAGGAACAAGGTGTGAAAAAGTATGAGGCAGGAAGGTGAAAATGACTTATTTTAATTTGATAGTGCACTCTGTTGGCTATAGGATGGGCAGAGTTAAGAAGAATATGATGAAACTTTGAGAGATTAATTGAACAACTTTATAGTGCTTTCAAATAACAAGCGATAAGCTAAATGAATCAAGAAGGTGGTATGAAAGGAAAACGAGGTGATTTACCAGGGAAACAAACAGAAAATATCAAAATACAATCTAGAAGTCAGCTTACTAACTAGATATGGGCAAAGAAGTAGAAGTAGGATTCATTGTATCTAATAGTTCCAACTCAGAGAGAAAGTAAAAATTCAGAGAAAAGCGGGATTACGGGAGATGATAAGAGGTTCATCATTGGTCATGTAACATATGAAGCAGCCAGAGAAAATCTAGGCAGAGAGGTTCACCTAGAAACTGATCACATCAGCCTAGGGGTAGGGAAGATGTCTAGACTGAAAATACATTTTAGAAGTACTCAGGAGGTGATATCTGAAACTATGAAAATGGTTATGATTACTCATAGAGATTACGGTCAGTGAGTAAAAACAAAGTATAAACAAGGGACCCTGAGGAATATCAGTATTTGATTGCTTAATTATGAAGAATAAAAGAGATGATGTCATGAAAGTAAAGAGAACAGCTTTGAGGAGAGTTCCCATATAAAGCAGCAGAGATTTCCCTTATAAAGAGTTGAAAAACTATCTGTTAGAATTACTGAATAGAAAATCATCAGTGATCTTATCCATAGCAGGATTACCTATAACAACTTTGGTCAATCAGACTGGGGTGGGGTGGGGACACAGGCAGAGGCAGAGAACAAAGAGTAATTTACTTAAGATTGAACAGAAGAAAGCAGGTAAAGAACAACCAACTCTTCTGAAGACTTTGATCAGAAGGGTATAAAAAGCAAAGCAACTACAGACAAGTGTAGCATAACAGATTAGGAGAAACCTGATCGATCATAGATGAAGAAGAAAAAAGAAATGGAGAAGAGGTTGGAGATATGAGCGAAAGTAAGAACAGCAAGTGGAACATGGCCCTGAAAAAGGAAGGACACAAGTCAAGGGCCACAGTAGATAGGTTGGTGGAAGTAAACTTTTTCCTCTGAGGCTGCAGAAAGGAGGGTGAAAATGGGCAGAGATGCAGAAAGCTACCACTGGCATATGAGAACTTAAAGGAGATATTACTTCCTTGAAATTGGAGACAGGGAGATACCAGTTAAACAGACACTAGTTAAGCATTATTAAGATGAATGGTGAAAGTGATAACTTCTACCTTCCACACCATACATTTTTAAATGTATCTAATTGGTTGCTCTTTTGCCCTTTTATAAAATTAGGAGTGGATGAGGTATACACAGAGGATCAAGCTTCACTTTAGAGTTCATTGATTTAACAGGTGCCTGGTATAACTATACAAATGTGCAATTATATGCATGACACTAATTATCACTACAACATCTGTATTCCAAGTTTAGGGAGATAATGCAGAAAGTTAAAAAATGTGGTGGTACCCAAATGATGACTTGTCAGCAAAGCATTTAACAGCATGTGGCAATTTCTATACTAAAAGAGCTAGAAAGCCTGATCGTTTTAAGCAAACAGACAGTTTGTGAGCAAACAAAAACATTTGAGCTATCTTTTCTCAATACAAGGACTAAAAATAAAGGGGGAGGGATGATATATTAATTATTAAGGTAAATTATACTTTTCTTTCATTAGAATCAAATGGCTCTCTATAAAGAAAGTAAATAATTTTATTATTGTACTCAAATATTCACAAAAATAAGCTGAACATCACAAGTAATGATTTCAAGGAAGACTCATAAAGTGAATTCTACCAATTAATAAGCAAAAAGCTGGTGTGTTTGTTTGCTTTTCACTCCTTACTGGCACGTCCTTGGCAAGTCAAAACCACTTTATTTTATCCCTTCATGCAAGATAGGCACGAATTTGGAGTAGGTTCTACTCATGTGTGTGCTATGAGAGAGGAATACCCAAAAGTGATCACTATTTTCCCTGGCTGCTTTGTTAAAATACCTTCAAAAAAGTGTCATGTGGGCATATTTTGAAGGTGCCAACAAGGAAAGTAAACAGAAATCTCCTCTCAATGCCCTAAAGGAATGCATCAACTCCACTCCTACCTTATTCATAAAACCTACAAATCCAATTGTTCAAAGGAAATCCGTCCCTGCATTCCCTGCAAGTCCCAAGAAGTTTATACTTATTAAACCGAGCAAATCATCATCATGCACTGCTCATATAAATACACAATTCATGTTTGTCCTAGATACTGTTTTTATCAGTTGATATCATTGGTATCCCTCCTGGCATCAGGTCCAGAGTGATGGACCATCACTGGTTCCTTTACTTTTCCACCTTCCACATGCAGTGAAATACTATGTTACAATGATTCTACCTTCTACGCATGTATTAATCAGGTTTACCCAGAAAAACAGAACCAATAAGATTATGTGTGTATATACAAATAGGTAGATGATACAAAGATAGATAGACAGATAGACACATAGAGAGAGAAAGAGAGCAATTATGGAGGCTGAGAAGTCTCAAGATCTTCAGGAGGAAAAGACCAATGCCCCACCTTAGGTCAGACAGGAAAAAGGAGCTGTTCCTTACTTGAAGGAGGGTCAACATTTTTGCTGTCTTCAGACTTTCAACTGATTGGATAAGGCCAACCTACACTAGGAAGGTCAATCTAATCTGCTGTACTCAGTCTACTAATTCAAATAATCTCATCCAAAAACACACAGAATTATGTTTGACCAAATATCTAGTCACCCCACAGCCTTGCCAATTTGACAAATCAAATTAACCATCACAACACATATATCCACAACTGTCCTTCTCGGTTCCTTCCCTACTTTACTTCATACCATCATCATCCCTTGAACCCGTTTGATGTGGTATCTTCACCTAGCTGATTTATCTGTCTCTAGTTCTGTCCTCCCTTAGGCCACATTCTGCTAACTTACTACTTTACATTACTACTTTGATCACAGGACTTCAGTGTTGCTGCCTTGGTGTTACAGGGTAGTACTCCATATCATGTTCGTCAGCTTGGCCCACAAAACCCTTCACTAGGTGGCCCCCGCCTGCTTTTCAAGCTTTACCTCCCATCCTTACCTTTATTTACATGCAAGCAATATTAATCCACATAGTTCACCAAATCATCACTATTTTACACAACTTTGCATTTACACAGGTTGTTCCACCGTTTGGTGTTTTCTTACACTATATCCCAGATACGCACTGATTCTTCAAGCCCTACTCCAAATCCTCTGTGAGTCATCACTGCTCTCTCTAGGCCAAAAAAAACCTCACTCTCCATCTGGGCTATACTATATCTTACATATACTTCAATTACCACTCATATTAACCTGTTTCAAATGTATTTGTGATTTCCTATTGAAAAGGAGAAATTCTATTTATTTGGGCTTTTCTGTTGTTTGGTGTCTGCCTTCCTACATAGTGATCTGAGTATTTTCTGAAAAATTCATATTTATACATTTGTATATATGTAAATCATATACATACATATGTATATGTATATATGTATATATACATATGTATATATGTAAATCACATAACATCTCTTCAAATGCACTCAAATATCATGCATATATAATGTCACTACCAATTATTATTTCCTAGCACTAATATTAATCACTCAAATATATTGATACATTGAATAATTTAAAAGTAATGTTTATGCCACCTGGTGGTCAAACAGGAAATGCTATTGAAAAACACTTCATAATTCATCATTTGATATGACAGTGCTACACTTGAAAACAATTACTTGGCTTCTGCCTCCAGGAGGATAGATATTTCTTATCATATTGCATAGCAAGTTTGAGAAATGCTAA